AAAAAAAAAAGGCCCGGCCCAAAATTACCACCGGTCCACCGTGCAAATACCCGGTATGCCAGTCCAGCAGTGATGGAAGAAAAGATGGTCTACGTCAGGAATGCCAGTGAGGGGAAGGTCAAAGTTGATTTTGTCGAGGTAAAAGCTGTCTCAAAGCCAGATGCTACAAATATAGCTGAAGCTGTGTGCAGTATAATGGACAGTGAAGTCAGCACTGATTGGAAGAACAAGCTGGTGGCCCTCACCACAGATGGAGCATCTGTAATGACAGGAGTAAACAATGGTGTAGTTACAAAACTGCGTGCAGAAAGACCATATGTGCTGGGGATCCACTGCATGGCCCATAAGCTCGAGCTCGCCTTTTCAGACGGAATAAGAAAAAATGTGATGGCCAGGAAAGTTGAGGACCTGTTGAGTGAGCTCCACATGAAGGCTTTGATGCCAACCAGAGTAGGTGGAACCCGGTGGCTACCACATCTCTTCAAAGCACTTGACCATTTTCTCAGGGGATATGCTGGCATTGTACGCCACTTAGAGAAGAAGGTATGTTAATTTATAGCCTACTAAAACCAGCAATGTAGATGGATAATTTAATGTTTGCTTTCTTTTTCTCTTCATCAGTTTTAAATGCTGTCTGTGATATAATGCAGTTGTTTTTTTTTGTAGTCCCAGGAGGCCACGAACATCAATGCTGTTCTGAGGGCAAAGGCCAAGGGGTTCCTCAACATAGCCAAGGATGGTGGAGTGCTCAGGTTTTGCTGCCTTCTCCATGACACCATCTATCAACTGAGCAACCTCTCCAAGTCACTGCAGAGGTCAGCGTCAACCCTGGCTGAAGCTCAGAGCTGCCTGTCCTCCACTCAGGCTGTCATAGAAAGGTACAAGTCAAGGTATGTATCATATATCCTACAATTTATGATTTGATTTTAGGTTGTGTTGGTATGTTTTCACCTCAGTATAAATAAAAATAAATAAATAAATAAAAAGATGCCCATCCATCTATCTCTGCACAACTATAGACCTGGGCCAAAGCTGAGAGCAGTGCTGGACACAGACACCTATAAGGGAGTCCTCCTGAAGTCTACTAATGCCGACCAGCATGACAAGGCAAAGAACGAGCTAATTGATTCTCTGTGTCGGTGCATCACTGCTAGATTTGATGATGTGAACAGTGGTGTCCTGCAGCTATGCGGCTGACCAGTTTCCAGTGCTGGCCAGAGGCAGACATGAGTTCAGGCTAGCAATTCAAATGTAATGAACAAATCTTTACGCATTTTATGTTTTAAGACAACTGCTTAACTTTATATTAATGTTTTCCCCTTTGTTCTCAGATTTTGGTGATGAAGAGGTAAACAAACTCATCAGTCACTTCCGACCTCTTCTGCTGTCTGCTGGAGTGGATGTGGAGTTGATCCCTGATCAATGGACAATTCTCAAGACTGAACTGTACTCAGCAGGATTCAGCCAAGGTACTTGAAAAATGATGTTTGAGAAAAAAAATCTCATACTGATGTACCTTAACAGTAGCATTTTTAAACAAGTGCTTGAAATGTTCCCAAGTTTCAGATAAGCTCTATAGAAATGTCTAATATTGTGAGCCAGTTTTATTTTGTTTATCAGGAATCAGAGTAAATGTCATTTGTTAAAGGCACAATCCAAATTTGTTGCCATCTTTTAATAACTAAAGTTGCATTTGAAAATGTATAATTTGTTTTGCAAGTGCATAATGCATATTGTCTGTCTGACCCTGCTACAGGAACCTTTGAGAAGACCTGGCCNTAAAGTTGCATTTGAAAATGTATAATTTGTTTTGCAAGTGCATAATGCATATTGTCTGTCTGACCCTGCTACAGGAACCTTTGAGAAGACCTGGCCTACTGTGAACAGAATGCTGCGCCATCGGTGTCCTGACGTCCTTGATCTTTTTGATGCTCTCCTCACCATCCCTGCAACTACAGCTGACTGTGAAAGAGGGTTCAGTGTTATGAAGCAGGTAAAGAGTGACTGGTGCTCACGTCTGAAAGGTGAGACCCTCTCTGACCTCCTTAAAACCCAGTTGTGCTCATCTGACATCAAAGACTTCGATCCAAGCAAAGCCATTGACATCTGGCATGCTGACAGTTTGCGCTCACGCAGGCCTGAGTTTGTGCGCAAACACCGGACAAAAGGAACTGAGGGTGGCTCAGATTAAGATGGGGTCTCTGAAGAAATTAGTTTAGAGAGCTCTGAAGACATTTGATTCAGAAATGAAATGTTTGCACTTTCTGTGTATATTTTGTTGTATGTATTGTACTTTCTGTGTGTTTTTCAAGCCAACAATGTTAATAAAATGATCAAATGCATTCAGTGGCACTCATAATCTCTCTTATTTTCACCGGAAAAAATTTGGCTAGTGGAAATTCTGGCTGGTGATCAAAAAAGTTAATTTAGAACCCTGTATGTAGCCAAAGGAGATGCGTCCCTCTGGCATCATGACAAAACCATCTACAAGGGCTCGTAGATGGGAGGCTCCTACAACAAGAACAAACTGAAACAACAGAAAGGATACAATTAAAATGTAATTCCTTAAATCAAGAACTGTATTCTTAAAAATTCTAAAACAATAATACCTTCTTGCCTGGTGCTTCAGCTGGAATGACCAATTTGTGACTGCGTCCAGTCAGCGAGGAAATTGGCCACTGCAACACAGCATGGCAGTAACCAGTACCGCAGGCTATTTATAAACAAAAAAAGACAACAGATTGCAATTAAAAGTAACAGGCAAAAATATTTTACAATCATGCAACAACAATAAACACCTTACACATACAAGGAAAACATTTAATGAGAAATTAGTTGGCAACATACGTGCACAGGAGTTGGTACCAGCCTGTTGAGGTCCGAAGACCACAGTAGGGCGCTCCGCCATCCTCCTCCTAGCTGCCTGAGAACGGCATAAGGACTTGACACGAGGCATATTAAAATATATAAACACGACTGATTAATGGTGACATCACAAGACATTTTAGCCCCCAATAGGTGTACATTTACATTTTTTTTAAAAATACACCTAAAACTATGGAAACAGCGATCAAGGTATTCAGATC